TGTCAGTTAAAAATAGGAGAGGAGAGTTATTAAATGGAGAGTTAGAGGTATTGGGAAGATGGAGGGAATATTTTGAGGAATTGTTAAATGTTGATGAAGATAGGGAAGCTGTGATTTCGTGTATAGGGCAAGGAGGAATAACATCTTGTAGGAGTGAGGAAGAGCCAGTTGTGAGTGTGGGGGAAGTTCGTGAGGCAGTAGATAAAATGAAAGAGGGGTAAGGCAGCCGGGATTGATGGGATAAAGATAGAAATGTTAAAAAGCAGGTGGGGATATAGTTTTGGAGTGGTTGGTGCAATTATTTAATAAATGTATGGAAGAGGGTAAGGTACCTAGGGATTGGCAGAGAGGATGCATAGTTCCTTTGTATAAAGGCAAAGGGGATAAAAGAGAGTGCAAAAATTATAGGGGGATAAGTCTGCTGAGTATACTGGTAAAGTGTATGGTAGAGTTATTATTGAAAGAATTAAGAGTAAGATGGAGAATAGGATAGCAGATGAACAAGGAGGCTTTAGGAAAGGTAGGGGGTGTGTGGACCAGGTGTTTACAGTGAAAATATAAGTGAACAGTATTTAGATAAGGCTAAAAGGTCTTTGTGGCATTTATGGATTTGGAAAAGGCGTATGACAGGGTGGATAGGGGGGCAATGTGGCAGATGTTGCAGGTGTATGGTGTAGGAGGTAGGTTACTGAAAGCAGTGAAGAGTTTTTACGAGGATAGTGAGGCTCAAGTTAGAGTATGTAGGAAAGAGGGAAATTATTTCCCAGTAAAAGTAGGCCTTAGACAAGGATGTGTGATGTCACCGTGGTTGTTTAATATATTTATAGATGGGGTTGTAAGAGAAGTAAATGCGAGGGTCTTGACAAGAGGCGTGGAGTTAAAAGATAAAGAATCACACACAAAGTGGGAGTTGTCACAGCTGCTCTTTGCTGATGACACTGTGCTCTTGGGAGATTCTGAAGAGAAGTTGCAGAGATTGGTGGATGAATTTGGTAGGGTGTGCAAAAGAAGAAAATTGAAGGTGAATACAGGAAAGAGTAAGGTTATGAGGATAACAAAAAGATTAGGTGATGAAAGATTGAATATCAGATTGGAGGGAGAGAGTATGGAGGAGCTGAATGTATTCAGATATTTGGGGTGGGACGTGTCAGCGGATGGGTCTATGAAAGATGAGGTGAATCATAGAATTGATGAGGGAAAAAGAGTGAGTGGTGCACTTAGGAGTCTGTGGAGACAAAGAACTTTGTCCTTGGAGGCAAAGAGGGGAATGTATGAGAGTATAGTTTTACCAACGCTCTTATATGGGTGTGAAGCATGGGTGATGAATGTTGCAGCGAGGAGAAGGCTGGAGGCAGTGGAGATGTCATGTCTGAGGGCAATGTGTGGTGTGAATATAATGCAGAGAATTCGTAGTTTGGATGTTAGGAGGAGGTGCGGGATTACCAAAACTGTTGTCCAGAGGGCTGAGGGAAAGGGGTTTTTGAGGTGGTTCGGACATGTAGAGAGAATGGAGCGAAAAAAGAATGACTTCAAGAGTGTATCAGTCTGTAGTAGAAGGAAGGCGGGGTAGGGGTCAGCCCAGGAAAGGTTGGGGAGAGGGGGGTAAAGGAGGTTTTGTGTGCGAGGGGCTTGGACTTCCAGCAGGTATGCATGAGCGTGTTTGATAGGAGTGAATGGAGACAAATGGTTTTTAATACTTGACGTGCTGTTGGAGTGTGAGCAAAGTAACATTTATGAAGGGGTTCAGGGAAACCGGCAGGCCGGACTTGAGTCCTGGAGATGGGAAGTACAGTGCCTGCACTCTGAAGGAGGGGTGGTTAATGCTGCAGTTTTAAAACTGTAGTGTAAAGCACCCTTCTGGCAAGACAGTGATGGAGTGAATGATGGTGAAAGTTTTTCTTTTTCGGGCCACCCTGCCTTGGTGGGAATCGGCCAGGCCAGTGTGATAATAAAAAAAAAAAAAAAAAAAAAAAAAAATATATATATTTTTTATAAATATATATTTATATATATAATATTATATATATATATATATATATATATATATATATATATATATATATATATATATATATATTATATATATGTATATAAATGTATATAAATGTATATAAATGTATATAAATGTAAATGCGCAGCGAGGAGACGGTTGGAGCAGCGGAGATGTCCTGTTTAGGCAATGTGTGGTGTAAATATTATGCAGAGAAATTCGGAGTGTGGAAATTAGGAGAAGGTTGTGGAGTTAATAAAGTATTAGTCAGAGGGCAGAAGAGGGGTTGTTGAGAGTGTTTGGTCATTTGAGGAGAATGGATCACAGTAGAATGACATGGAAAGCATATAAATCTATAGGGGAAGGAAGGCGGGGTAGGGCGTCTCGAAGGGTTTGGAGAGAGGGGTAAAGGAGGTTTTGTGGGTAAGGAGCTTGGACTTCCAGCAAGCGTGCGTGAGCGTGTTAGATAGGAGTGAATGGAGGGGGAATGGTACTTGGACCTACGATCTGTTGGAGTGTGAGAGAGGTAATATGTAGTAAAGGGGGATTCAGGGAAACCGTATTTTCATATAGTCGGACTTGATCATGGAAATGGAGTACAATGCCTGCACTTTAAGGAGGGGTTTGGGATATTGGCATTTGGAGGGTATGTTGTGGTATCTTTATATGTTTATGCTTCTAGAACGTTGTATTCTGAGCACCTCTGCAAAAACAGTGTTAATGTGAGAGTGTGGTGAAAGTGTTGAACTGATAAATGAAAGTATGATTTTCTTTTTGGGGATTTCTTTCTTTTGGGTCACCCTGCCTCGGTGGGAGACGGCCGTTGTTGAAAAAAAAAAAAAAAAAAAATAAAAAAAAAAAAATAAAAAAAAATATGATAATATATATTATATATATATTTATGTGTTTGTGTTGTTTGTGTGTGTGTGTGTGTGTGTGTGTGTGTGTGTGTGTGTGTGTATGTATGTATGTATGTATGTATGTAATAGGTAGTAGGCTGGTAGACAGCAACCACCCAGGGAGGTACTACTGTCCTGCCAAGTGAGTGTAAAACGAAAGCCTGTAATTGTTTTACATGATGGTAGGGTTGCTGGTGTCTTTTTCCTATCTCATAAACTTGCAAGATTTCAGGCACGTCTTTCTACTTCTACTTACATTTAGGTCACACCACACATGCATGTACAAGCATATGCAGCCTCTCTTCACCTAACAACGGAGTTCCGTTCCTAACTCCATATCATTAAATGAATTCGTCACTAAGTGAGGAGCATACTATAATTGTAGTGGGTTTGTGTCAGCCATCTTTGATATTGTTTTAATGTCACCCTTGCACCATTTATAACATTTCTGGTATATTTTTGATTGTTTATACAGTAGCGTACTTTATATTGAAATAAACAGAATAGAGGAAATCAGCTCTAATATTTATTATTTAGGTATAAATACTGGTCAGAGAGCCCATTGTAAGTCCGAGTCATTGGTAAACAAGTACACCTACCATCCGACTTACGACCTGCTCGACATACGACCTCTTGACTTAGGACCATGTTTTTTATGCCAAATTTCTAGGAAATAAACAACTGTTTGTGTTGTACACAGTTTTTATCCTGAACCTTACAGTATAAAATACAGTAGTAACAGCATTAAAAGTAAAGTAAAAAATGAAATACCAAAACAAGACAATAAAATAAATTCATTACAAAAGTGTGATGCTGATATTCAGTAGTAAGGTTCAACTTACATCCATTTTGACTTATGTTCAGTTGGTCGGAACCAAGCTTGGTTATAAGTCGGACGGTACCTGTACGTTGCTAAGTGAAGAGAGGCTGTATATACACACCCTTCTGCATTTTCTATTTTTCTTACTAGTTCTTGTTCTTGTTTATTTCCACTTATCTCCATGGGGAAGTGGAACAGAATTCTTCCTCTGTAATCCATGTGTGTCATAAGAGGCGACTGCAATGCCAGGAGCAAGGGGCTAGTAACCCCATTTCCTGTATATGTTACTAAATGTAAAAGAAGAACTTTTATTTTTCCTTTTTGGCTACCCTGCCTAGGTGGGATACGGCCGGTGTGTTGAAAGAAGAAAGATGTACGTATGTATGTATGTATGTGTGTCGTACCAAATAGGAAAAACTGGTCAGTAAGCAAGAACTCATTTAAAATAATTCTTTACTAAAATTTTCTTTTATACTTTTAAAGATATATTTTTTAATTTATGTTAATGTAAAAATTAATCATTTTGTACCAAAAGAACCTTGAAACACTTGCCTAACCTTATTATAACAAGCACAATTTAATTTAGCTTAATCCAACTAAATATATTTTAGATAAGTTTACAATAATTTAATAATAAACAAAATGAAATATTTTTTTTTTATTAGGTTCGGAATGATTTTTGTGAAATTATTGCATATAAATTTTTGCTTGCCTTAGTCGGCAAAAAGAGCGTTGCTATTTAAGCCCAAATCGCAAGTTTTACCTATTCAGCATGACATATGTACATACATACATACCTACAATAATACATACATACATACAATAATACATGAATACATACATACAATAATACATATGTACATATATACAATAATACATACATACATACATACAATAATACATACATACATACAATAATACGTTGGATTGCGTGCAGCCAGCAGTAACAGCCTGGTTGATCAGGCTCGGATCCACCAGGAGGCCTTGTCACAGACCGGGCCGCGGGGGCGTTGACCCCTGGAACTCTCTCCAGGTAAACTCCAGGTAATACATACAATAATACATACATACAAACAATAATAAATACAAACAGTAATACATACAAACAGTAATACATACATACAATAATACATGCATGCATACAGTAAATGTTATAATACTAGTCTATTTTAAAAAATTTATTTCATTTTTCTGTATGAAAGTGCAAACATAAGATAACTTCTTTGTGTTCTGTATATAATGAATGCTCTTACTCTTTAAATCCATATCTAATGCTTAGTGTTTGGCGCAGGCGATACCAAGTTTGCGTCCATTCAACCCAGATCACTTCCTTGCCACTTTAGAGTTATATGGACCACACTTAACTAGTGGTATTCGTGGAGACTGGGAAGGCTTATATCGTCGATTTTTTCGTTCCGTCAATTTCTCTGTATGGTTTAATGCACGCCATCAGGAAGTCTCGGATAAGCTATCAGAGTTGCATCTCCAGGCATTATGTGATGCAGTAAGTGATATTTTTTTAATACTTATTGTTTCGGGTTTTGTGAAAAATAATTTCATTCTTTAAATTGCATTGATTTCAAATTTTTCTTAATTCAAAACAATGCTACTGTAGAAGGTTCCATGATACAGTATACTATTATTGTATATGAAAGAAACAAGACGCAGTTAAGAATTACATCCTATAAATTTTCTAATATCATCTTGGAGCAAACATTACTTATAAGAACATAAGAAAGGAGGAACACTGCAGCAGGCCTGTTGGCCCATACTAGGCAGGTCCTTTACAATTCATCCCTCTAACAAAACGTTTGCCCAAACCAATTTTCAATGCTACCCAAGAAATAAGCTCTGATATGCAAGTTCCACTCAAATCCAACCCCTCCCACTCATGCATTTATCCAACCTAAATTTGAAACTACCCAAAGTCCTAGCCTCAATAACCTAGCTAGGTAGACTGTTCCACTCATCAACTACCCTATTTCCAAACCAATACTTTCCTACATCCTTTCTGAATCTAAACTTGTCTAATTTAAATCCATTACTGCAGGTTCTCTCTTGGAGAGAGATTCTCCATGTAATTTTTATGAGTGACATCCAAATAATAATGAATTTTTAGCTTGTCATCATGTACTTACTGCAGTACCAATATGTATATTGTAATGTATATCATATAAGAAAATAGCATGGGTAATGTCTTATGATATTTGACAATATATTGCTTTAGCATTAGGTAGATGGCTCATTTTCCTTGGTTACAAATGAAAGTAGCAAACTCTTCTGTGATGAAGATAAAATTGGCATTGCCTTTTTGATCAATGGTTATTTTGAACTCTCATTGCAACACCATTTTCTGACCTGCATTTTTCACCATAATGTTTCCATCTCCTGTGACGTTTTTTTTTTCCTTTCTTCCCGTGTACATTCCTAATTGTGAATCTGCTTTAAGAAATTACACACTACATATTCTTTGCAAGTAAGAACAACTTAGCCTACTGGAAAACTTTTTATTTTTAAGACAGCCATTTTCTACAAAGGCAAATTAACTCAAAGAAAATACACTCACCATCATTCATTCTCTAGCTGCCTTTCTAGAAGTGCATATACATCACTTTTTAAATGACTCTCCAACTTGGAATAGTAAATTGGGAGGCAGCAATTATCCAGGAAGGTATCACCATCCTGCCATGTAAGTGTGTTTTGCACTCTGGAAGATTGCTGGCCTTTTTTATTTTTGTTGTATGAACACCAAAATGGAAAAAAAATTTAAAATTTTCATTAATTCACTATACATTAGCTTCAATCTTGCATTTATTTCCTTTGTAGATTTTATTCCTCAAATATTCCTTTTTTCTTTTTAGAGTCCTGATCTGAGACAGTCACAATCAGGTTCAAACCCAAATAGATCAATACAGTGGAACCCTTTTTTCGTTTGCCCTGGTTTTCGTCGAATTGGGGTTTTCGATATTTTTTTTTCATCAAAATTTTTTTCGTTTTCATTATCACCTTGGTTTTCGTCATCCCCCAAACCCGAAAAGGTCCCCCCCTCCCCACACCCACACAAAGCATCCCACGCTTCTAAGTCAGTCTGGTTTTGTTTCTCGTCGAGTGACATTACCCGCACATTCATAAAAAATTTTTCATAAAAATCCATTTTTTTTTTGTGCTTTTTTTATTGAGTGTGCTGCAAATAGGCCAAAGAAATTCCCAAAGTTCTGCCCTTTGAAAAAGAAGGTGAGAAAGATAGCATTCAAAAAGAACTTGTACAAATTTGGGGTTTGGATGTGTTGGCCGGGGATGGGGAAGATTGGGGGATACCACAGGGAAGAGCTAACCACTGAAGAGCTGCAACGTTTTCCCAACTGAACAGAAAACAAATTGCGCTGGGGAAAATTGTTGGGGGAGGAGGAGAAGAGGGGAGACTGTACTTTCTTCATGATTAAGGACATGTATGCAAAGGGAGAGAGTTGCAAAGTTTTGGGAGAAATATCCCCTAACAAAGGTTGTAATCCGTGTCTGCAACTTTTCAATGAAATGCCTTGTCCCTTTTTTGGGCAAACTTGTTTTGCCAAAAAAATCTCGGACAGTTTTTTTGTGCTACAGGTCTAGTCCCTTTAAAAACAAAGAAGGAAGTTCCCCAGATGGGGATTTTGTCCCTAAGTCCTTAGGAGGGGGATCCCCCCAACCAATAACCTCCCCTCCCCTTTCCCCTCCTCCTCTTCCATATGTCAACAGGAGTCTTCAATAAAGGTAAAAGTGATTTTAAATGTTCTTTTTATTCATTTTTTACCCTTTATATTTTTTTCCCAGTTTTTTCTGCATGAAAAATTAGTTTTCTCTAAAATGTATTTTTTTTGGGAATGGATTATTAGATTACATTATTTTTTAGGGGGAAACATTGCTTCGTTTTTATAAATTGGGTTTTCATCAGATTTTCGGGAAATGAATTAATGAAAAAAAAAAGAGGTTCCCTGTATACTGTATTTTTTAAGGTTTAAATTTTCATTTTAACCCCTTAAACTGTCCAAACGTAATCTTTTTTCACTCGGTAGCGCTCTTAAGTGACTGCTTTTCGATTTTTACATGCTTTTTTTATGTAAAAAAAAATGTAATCTACTTTTGGAGCGCACAAAAGTGAGCAAAGATCTACGTTGAGTTAAAGGGTTAATTAATCATTTTGCATTTTTTTTTAATTTTTTATGTAGAAAAAATGAGAGGATCCTTGAACAATAGGTACTCGACAAGGAAACAACAAAGGGTTTTAGGAAAACAGAGTTTTGAAATGTCTTGTGGACATAGAAAAAAATTTTAGACCACCCAAATGGAGAGTGAAATTGAACCTTTTAAAACATCATTTAGGAGAGAGGAGAGAGGGGTGAGAGAGAGAGGTGAGGAGTCCCACGACAACCTGGCTATGGAAAGGGTAATTGGCCAGCCCTTTTCTCTGAGCTCGCCACCACCGACTGGAAGTCTTCTCCCGGGGGGATGTTAAACCAAGTGAAAGCCCTTTATGGACACATCCTTAATCGCAACAAGAACACATTCCTCACCGGAATTGTGACAAAGCCTCAGATCAGCCCTTGGGTTTTGGGTTTCTTGTAGAGAGCTGTACTGCAAGTACAAAAACTGGCGAAGGATAAGAAATCCTACCACCTATAACGGAACTTTTCACATGCAAGCCCGTAGGGATATGGGGGTGTTTTAAAAAAGGGCCATTTTAAATGGGAGGTGGACACTAAAAAAGTTACACAGGTAGGGAAGGGGTCCAAAACCTGGGGCCGGTCAAAGGGCAGACCAAGGTTACTGCCGGAACTTATTCCACCTTAAATGACAGGTGGGACCACCTCACTAGTAGTCAAGAGAAGGGACCTCTTTGTGAACACTTTGCTACCAAAATGCAAGTTCCCGATCCCGCAAGGGACCCCTTGGCTACTGCAAGAAAAATTGTCAAAACTGTCAGTGGGGACAATAAGGGAGGGGGAGGGGCATTTTTCCCTTCTTAAAACACTTGCCAAAAAGGCGTGGCCCAAAGTTGACCCAAAAATTGTTGAGAAGATGTGCAGACCCGCAGCACACCCTAACTCGCTCTTTTAGCATGCCTAGTACAGTGAAATGGGGCCCCCTCCATGGAAAAAGGGAAAAAGATCCTTTTTTACAAAAAAAGACAACAGAAATCACAAATACAGACCAGTGTCACCCTGTCAATCACGGTAAGATCCTTGAGACAATTATCTCAAGAAAATGCAGATTTTTTTGACTACCACTCACTACTTGGATAGTCAATATGGGTTTAGGAAGGTTACTCTGCTCTGATCTGTTTTTAAACCCCCTCCCCTAAGTGGCACCATCATTGGATGAAACCAAAGTCACTGGTGGTAGCACTGGACATTGCTGGCGCTTTTGCCGGGGTGTGGACCAGGGGCCCCTTGCAAAAATTCAAGCACTGGGAAATTTCAGGCTCTAGCTATGTCTCCTCAGTGATTACCTTATGGGAGATCTCGGTTTGTCCTCAAGGAACGGAATCACAAGGGATCCTATTGGGGCAAGCTTCCCAAGGAAGCGTCTGGGTCCCTTTATGGAATTCTACTTCAACGCCCTTCTTCATCTCATCCCCGAAACACATGCATATGCAGACGACTGTACACTGACATTCACTTATCCAAGAGAAGAAATGCCAGCTGCTCTAAGCTACATCAATCACCACTGAGAGCTATATCAGCTTGGGGAAATAGATGGCAAGTAACATTTGCACCTGAGAAAACGCAAATGATGATCGTCCAGGCACCATGATGGTAATGCTGGTGCAGTAGTAAGGATGAATGGGACGATGTTGGCACCTGGAGAAGAAGTTGATATCCTTGGGGTGAAATTTGACTCCAAACTAACCATGAAGAACCATGTTGTAAATCTTGCAAACAAGGCAGCCAGGAAGCTTACAGCACTTCACCGTATCTCGCATCTGCTTGACAGTAGGGGTTGCAAGATCCTGTACGAGGCACAAGTACGCTCACACCTTGAGTATGCTCCACTTTCTTGGTTTGCCTGCCCCCCCTCTCATCTGCGACTGCTTGACAGAGTAAGAACAGAGCAAGACGTCTCATCTCTCGCCTGGACCCATCCTGGATAGATCTGTCATTTCCAGCAGAGCCTTCAACATAGGAGGGATGTGGGTGGCCTTACTGTTAATGTACAAGGCCAATATTGTCAAAATACCACACTTGGATCCACTTCAAGGACAGCGTGAAACAAGCTTTTATGCCACAAGACGGGCAGAAAGCAGCAACTTCACTCTGGCTGTACCCTTCTCCAGAACATCACTCCATCTGAGATCATACATACCCAGGATGACTCGAGTATGGAACACATTCGTACAGCATAATGATGTCAACGAGATAAAGTCAGTTGATCAAATGAAAATGCTGGCCCACAGATGGCTCCAACTTCATCCTGTCCCGTACTTGTATGTCTCATAACAATAAAAATGCTTTCAAATGAGCTGATGTAGGTAACAGCTCTTAGCTTGCCAATAAAATTAGGAATCCTTAACCTGTAATATAGCTGTCAATAAAGCTAGGGATCCTTAACCTTGTCAAACCCTGTGTAAAAAAAAAAAAAAAAAAAGAGAGATAGAAGGAGAGAGAGAGAGTATGAGAGTGAGAGAGAATGAGTACTCACCTAGTTGTACTCACCTAGTTGTGGTTGCAGGTGTCAATTCATAGCTCCTGGCCCTGCCTCTTCATTGGTCGCTACTGGGTCACTCTTCCTGCTCCATGCGCTTTATCATACCTTTTCTTTTCGTGTATAGGGCAAGGAGGAATAACATCTTGTAGGAGTGAGGAAGAGCCAGTTGTGAGTGTGGGGGAAGTTCGTGAGGTAGTAGGTAAAATTAAAGGGGGTAAGGCAGCCGGAATTGATGGGATAAAGATAGAAATGTTAAAAGCAGGTGGGGATATAGTTTTGGAGTGGTTGGTGCAATTATTTAAAAAATGTATGGAAGAAGGTAAGGTACCTAGGGATTGGCAGAGAGGATGCATAGTTCCTTTGTATAAAGGCAAAGGGGACAAAAGAGAGTGCAAAAATTATAGGGGGATAAGTAAGTTTTAGTATACCTGGTAAAGTGTATGGTAAGAGTTATTATTGAAAGAATTAAGAGTAAGACGGAGAATAGGATAGCAGATGAACAAGGAGGCTTTAGGAAAGGTAGGGGGTGTGTGGACCAGGTGTTTACAATGAAACACTTAAGTGAACAGTATTTAGATATGGCTAAAGAGGTCTTTGTGGCATTTATGGATTTGGAAAAGGCGTATGACAGGGTGGATAGGGGGGCAATGTGGCAGATGTTGCAGGTGTATGGTGTAGGAGGTAGGTTACTGAAAGCAGTGAAGAGTTTTTACGAGGATAGTGAGGCTCAAGTTAGAGTATGTAGGAAAGAGGGAAATTATTTCCCAGTAAAAGTAGGCCTTAGAAAAGGGAAATGTGTGATGTCACCGTGGTTGTTTAATATATTTATAGATGGGTTTGTAAAGAAGTAAATGCGAGGGTCTTGGCAAGAGGCGTGGAGTAAAAGATAAAGAATCACACATAAAGTGGGAGTTGTCACAGTTGCTCTTTGCTGATGACACTGTGCTCTTGGGAGATTCTGAAGAGAAGTGCAGAGATTGGTGGATGAATTTGGTAGGGTATGCAAAAGAAGAAAATTAAAAGTGAATACAGGAAAGAGTAAGGTTATGAGGATAACAAAAAGATTAGGTGATGAAAGATTGGATATCAGATTGGAGGGAGAGAGTATGGAGGAGGTGAATGTATTCAGATATTTGGGAGTGGACGTGTCAGCGGATGGGTCTATGAAAGATGAGGTGAATCATAGAATTGATGAGGGGAAAAGGTTGAGTGGTGCACTTAGGAGTCTCTGGAGACAAAGAACTTTGTACTTGGAGACAAAGAGGGAAATGTATGAGAGTATAGTTTTACCAGTGCTCTTATATGGGTGTGAAGCATGGGTGATGAATGTTGCAGCGAGGAGAAGGCTGGAGGCAGTGGAGATGTCATGTCTGAGGGCAATGTGTGGTGTGAATATAATGCAGAGAATTCGTAGTTTGGAAGTTAGGAGGAGGTGCGGGATTGCCAAAACTGTTGTCCAGAGAGCTGAGGAAGGGTTGTTGAGGTGGTTCGGACATGTGGAGAGAATGGAGCGAAACAGAATGACTTCAAGAGTGTATCAGTCTGTAGTGGAAGGAAGGCGGGGTAGGGGTCGGCATAGGAAACGTTGGAGGGAGGGGGTAAAGGAGTTTTTGTGTGCGAGGGGCTTGGACTTCCAGCAGGCATGCGTGAGCGTGTTTGATAGGAGTGAATGGAGACAAATGGTTTTTAATACTTGACGTGCTGTTGGAGTGTGAGCAAAGTAACATTTATGAAGGGGCTCAGGGAAACCGGCAGGCTGGACTTGAGTCCTGGAGATGGGAAGTACAGTGCCTGCACTCTGAAGGAGGGGTGTTAATGTTGCAGTTTAAAAACTGTAGTGTAAAGCACCCTTCTGGCAAGACAGTGATGGAGTGAATGATGGTGAAAGTTTTTCTTTTTCGGGCCACCCTGCCCTGGTGGGAATCGGCCAGTGTGATAATAAAAAAAAATAAAAAAATAAATGTATGGATCCTGCCTCCACTATATCACTTCCCAGACTATTTCACTTCCTGACAACTTTGTGACTGAAGAAATACTTCCAAACTCCCTGTGATTCATCTGAGTCTTCAACTTCCTGCTGTCACCCCTTGTTGCTGTGACCCATCTCTGGAACATCCTGTCTCTGTCCACCTTGTCGATTCCTTTCAGTATTTTATATGTTGTTATCATATCCCCCCTCTCTCCTGTCTTCCAGTGTCTTCAAGTCGATTTCCCTTAGCCTCTCCTCATAGGACATACCCCTTAGCTCTGGGACTAGTCTTGTTGCAAACCTATGCACTTTCTCTAGTTTCCTCACATGTCTGGCTAGGAGAGGGTTCCAAATTGGCACTGCATACTCCAGTATGGGCCTAATGTACACAGTGTACAAGGTCCTGAAGGACTCCTTATTAAGATGCTGGAATTCTGTTCTTAGGTTTGCCAGGCACCCATGTACTGCAGCAGTTATTTGGTTAATGTGCACCTCAGGAGATGTACCCAGTGTTATACTCTTGTGTGTGTGTGTGTACACTCATCTAATTGTGGTTCCAGGGGTCGAGACTCAGCTCTTGGCCCTGCCTCTTCACTGAGTGCTACTAGGTCCTCTCTCTCCCTGCTCCATGAGCTTTATCATACCTCATCTTAAAGCTATGTATGGTTCCTGCCTCCACTACCTCACTTGCTAGGCTATTCCACTTGCTGACTACTCTATGACTGAAGAAATACTTCCTAACATCCCTTTGACTCATCTGGGTCTTCAACTTCCAATTGTGACCCCTTGTTTCTGTGTCCCCTCTCTGGAACATCCTGTCTCTGTCCACCTTGTCTATTCCATGCAGTATTTTGTATGTTATCATTTCTCCCCTAACCTTCCTGTCCTCCAGTGTCGTTAGGCCGATTTCTCTTAACCTTTCTTCGTAGGACATTGCCCTTAGCTCTGAAACTAACCTTGTCGCAAACCTTTGCACTTTCTCTAATTTCTTGATGTGCTTGATCAAGTGTACTCACCTAATTGTGGTTGCAGGGGTCAAGACTCAGCTCCTGGCCCCGCCTCTTCACCGACCGCTACTAGGTTCTCTCTCCCTCTGCTCCATGAGCTTTATCATACCTCGTCTTAAAACTATGTATAGTTCCTGCCTCCACTACATCGCTTGCCAGACTATTCCACTTCCTAACTACTATGATTGAAGAAATGCTTCCTAACATCCCTTTGACTCATCTGAGTCTTCAGCTTCCAATTGTGACCCCTTGTTTCTGTGTCCCATCTCTGGAACATCTTGTCTCTGTCCACCTTGTCTATTCCATGCAGTATTTTGTATGTCATTATCATGTCTCCCCTGACCCTCCTGTCCTCCAGTGTTGTCAGACCGATTTCCCTTAACCTTTCTTCAGTGTGTGTGTGTGTGTGAGAGGGAGAGAGAGAGTAGAGAACAGAGCAAGACGTCTCATCTCTCGCCTGGACCCATCCTGGATAGATCTGTCATTTCAGCAGAGCCTTCAACATAGGGATGTGGGTGGCCTTACTGTTATGTACAAGGTCAATATTGTCAAAGTACCACACTTGGATCCACTTCAAGGACAGAGTGAAACAAGCTTTTATGCCACAAGACGGACAGACAGCAGCAACTTCACTGGCTCTACCCTTCTCCAGAACATCACTCCATCTGAGATCATATATACCCAGGATGACTCGAGTGTGGAACACATTCGTACAGCATAATGATGTCAACGAGATAAAGTCATTTGATCACATGAAAATGCTGGCCCACAGATGGCTCCAACTTCATCCTGTTCCCTACTTGTATGTCTCATAACAATAAAAATGCTTTCAAATGAGCTGATGTAGGTAACAGCTCTTAGCTTGCCAATAAAGTTAGGAATCCTTAACCTGTAAATAGCTTGTCAATAAAGCTAGGGATCCTTAACCTTGTCAAACCCTGTGTAAAAAAAAAAGAGAGAGAGAGAGAGAGACACACACACAGAGACACAGACAGACAGACAGAGGCAGACTCCTTTATATTATGTACAGATGTGCTTCCATAGCCAAGAGGCCAGCCTGTTTACTGCCTAAATTATGTTTGCAATTACATGTTGAGAGCTATCAGTCCAGTTTTCTTTATTTTACATACATAGTTAAATTTTTGCTTGATTTTATGGCTAAGTACATGTACAAATTCTCATCTAGAGATTTTTCACTATTTTTCATTATTTATATGAAAACACCATTACGAGTTCTGGCCATAACCTTCCAGGATCTGGGTGGATGGGTGTGCAGTAGAAGTGAGGTTGAGGTAGTGGATATGGTGCTGAGACTACGTTCCAAGTTGACAGCAGCTGACACCCTGTGTGTAGACCAACACACACGTGACAGACTCCATGCCCACCTACAGACATTGTTCATGGCTCTACCAGAGGACCTGCGTTCAGTACTTCATGCCAGCTGAAGAACAGTAATTGGGAATAAGATTTCCCTTACGATGAATCAACAAGATAAGTGATTTTATATATCTAAATTTTGTTTGATATGAGTCATGTAGTCTTGTATATAATGTCTCTGTGAGATAAAGAAAGCTATTCACTAAGAATAATTTACATCACTGCTCATCTTAATTCCCTGAAACCTAAAGTACTTGTAGGATGGTTTTCCAGCTGGGCAGTAGATGATTATCGCAATCCCGATTCACTTTTTACCTGATTGCCCCTGGCACTCGGGCACCTGTAACACAGTCCATCCTGTCACAATCATCCTTGGTAATATGATGCTTTTTTTGCAGATAAAAAATTTATTTTAAAGACTGTGTTTCAAACACATGGGTTTTATCAAGTCAATTTCCTTCATATGTGACATGTCAAAATATGCAAAAAGAAAGCGATGGGAGACTAGGCATTGTTATGTAATGGATATATGTTGCAAGTGCCACATAGTGACTTGATAATGCTTCTGTGAGGGTGAAATGCTGCCTATAAAGTGATAGCTTTGGCTGCTAATTGTGTCTTATCACCATACTCATTGGCAATCCTGCCATTTCATAACATAATCATCCTTATTTGTGACTCAAATTCACAGTGTTGTGAAACTTAGGATTTATACATGAGTACTTTCTTCCTGTGGTCTGGAGAGTTGCTAGGTCCAGGTGTTGACTATGGGTGCCATGACTGGGTACAAAAGATTGAGCTTCAAATAACTTAATGGCCTTACTGTAATCTTGTGGTTTTCTAGTTCTGACTCTGCAACATTTCATTGTTGAAACCCACAAAATAAAAATTCACATCAGCGTTGCAATTTAAAAAACATAATAATTTTATGCCCTGAAATGGTAGAAAAACTTTATCTAAAGGTAATTACACCAAAAATGCAAAATGTGATGTAAAACTTAAAAACTTACCCAGGTTGGGAAGCACTATATGCAGCTTCAATTTTGTCCATTTGAGGCCTATTTTAGGCCAATTCACATGCTCAAACAACCAGTTTCTGGCTATTTTGCTATTATGCCTTCCATTCAACTATCCCATCTACCCTATAAAGTGCCTAGAAATTGGTAATTTGGCCAATTTTACATAAAATTCAGATAAATCTAATTTTAAAACAATAGTCCAAAACAAAAAACACTGTTGGAGTTTTAGAAACTAAAGCAACATTTCCTCTGTTCATTAATCATATCCCCAAGCCTCTCCTATATAACATTTGCCTTCCATTTTGAATTCATCATCACACACAAAAAAAATTTTTGTGTGATGAATTCAAAATTTTTGGTGTGTGATGATGAATTCAAAATTCAGCTAATAAAATATAAACAAGAATACTTGGTTTAGTCCATCCCAGTAATTGAAGCAGGCATAATAAGAACCTATAAAACAGATCAGGGGAAGGGGTAGAGGGGCCCCTACACTTTCTCAGGAATATTGCCAAAAAATAAATATTTCTGCCACTTGGAGGCTTATTTCAAACCACTTGTGGTCTGAAACCAACCAAAATCACTTCCATTTCACTAATAGGTCTTCCAGTTTATCAATTGGCACCAAGCTACTGTCAATGAAACCATGAAAACCCACCCAAAATATTCCCTTTAAAGTCACTATTTTAACCCAAACAGAAGGTCAGAGGTTAGCTGTTACCATCATGCATTTATTAATTGGGGCAGGATTTTTTTATACTGTTCACACCCATTGCACAGACCCATTTTCTCATGTCTAGGTCAAAATTTATCTCTTTTGGCACTTTTGAGTTTAGCATTTAGATTGACTGTAATGATACATGTATACCATTTGAATAATAATAATAATGATATCATTGAGACAGATCTACATAAATGACACTGAGCTCAGTGACATAGATCTATGTGAGAGACAGTGGAAGGGTTTTAACCTTGGTTGTAGTTAGGATCGGTTACCCTGGGAACTTTAATTACCTTAGGTACATTTTAGATTTCAGTTCTTAGTTTCACAACATTGTGAGTTTCAGAGCCCTCTTAAAATGTGTAGTTATATTGATGTTCCCTCCATTTTAATTGTACATTATCCATTTTTAATTTATTGGTGATCTTTGTTGTCCTTCCCAAATATATGGAAGAGCACAGTAGTGGCTATTTTGGTAGCAGTATAGAATGTAAAAATATCATCCACTCTACCATGGCTTATCAGTAAACATTTTAGCAATAATTAAAAAAATTGGTTGACTTATTTAGTTGATTACAGTACGTACATGTGTCAACATTTATTTGTATACTATATAGTAATAAGTTCCATACATATAATTAAGATCTTAACACTATAAGTTTATAAGTCATTTAAGGTATTATTTGAAGCAAGTGCCTTTGATAATGTAGCAGTAGCCAGTCAGAATGAAAAATATTTCAAATTTATTAGTGAAAACTTGTCAGGAATTAAGAAAATTTTTTATTTCTTTTGAATAAGTTTCACTATACATATTTACAAAATAACATCTGGTTAGAAATTTGTAACTAATTAAAGGATTTGTTCTAATATTGTTGGCAACAAATTACAGATAAGAAGTGGAAAGTAGAAAAAACAGCAGAATTAAACTGATGAATATATTTTGAACATTCTTTTGGAACTTGTGTTTTTATATGTATTCATATCACTTATCTGATAATATTGTAAATTTATATTATCACACATTGTGTTGTATCAGAATGATGATAATCAACTTTATAAGAATGATGCATCATCATTACGATGGGCGCAGGTGCATTTGTTGTAAATAAGCAATATATATTTTCATCTTTATATTAATTTATGAAATTGATCCCAGGGACTTTTAAAGAGATCTCATGTATGTAGAGTCTATTATTTTATTTTAAAGCTTTTGTACTTGTAATACAGTAAACCAAAGCTCTGTTTGTTGTTTTATCACTAGTGCCAATTTTTACAATTTCTTGTACAATAGTTTAATTTAGACATTTAATGTATTTTTTTATTTGAATGGTATATAAGAATACTCGTATATATGAATTTTGAATTTCACAGCTTCAAAGTCTCATAGATTATTTTATTTCTGAAAGACATAATCATATTTATTCATGGGGAAGTGGAACAGAATTCTCCCTCCGTAAGTCATGTGTGTCATAAGAGGTGATTAAAATTCTAGGAGCAAGGGGCTAGTAACCCCTCCTCCTGTATACAATACTAAATTTTAAAAGAAAAACTCGTTTTTCTTTTTAGGTCACCCTGCCTCGGTGGGATATGGCCAGTTTGTTGAAAAGAAAAAATCATATTTAACCTCTAAACTGTGGCATACCTGGAAAAAAAAATCCTGTATGTATGAATGTGTGTGTGTGTGTGGGAGATTTTTTAAAATAAAAAATATTTTTTTTATAGAAGGAAATAGTTACATTTTTTGTGAATTTAATAAGACTAAAATGAGTGGAATCTGATGAAAACTTAGGATTTTATGGTGTGTTGAAGTTATTGAAAAACAACTTGTTGGCAACAGCAGTGTAAATGTGACAGTGATATTTTCGTTTTACAAGTTATTGACGCCAAATTATGATTGTTTTTCTGTTTATTAATTGCTTTAATGTTTAACAGTATGTACACTAGTTTCTCATGATATTAAATGTGCTTAAAGATATTTTAGCATTTCGGACATGGGGAAATGCTTGGAATACATAGTATATATTGTTGAAATATATTTTTTTTAACCACAAGCAAAGCTTATAATATTACACTTGTTTCATAGTGTATGCTTTGTGGCAGAATTCTGCTTTTAAGTATCATGAAATTGTAATAAATTTGTAATGAATAAGTCATCTTTGTGCTACTTCCACATCCTCTTTGCTGGTGGGAAACTGGTGGTAAGCAATAGCTGATTTCATCATTTACTTATGCTAGTTAGGCGTCGTAGTACATTGGACACAATCGTCACCTGTATAGTTAGTCATAATGCCTTCAATTTTTTTCCCAAGGTATGAAGAGATTGTAGATTCTGATGAGGTCAAAAATATTGGCAAGTGGCAAATTTGAAGGTATGAAAAATTGTGCATACTAATAAGTTGGACACAACTTGAAGATTAAATGTGAAGTCACAAACGCCTGAAGTATCTAAACGTATTGTATTATAGCTCAATGAAATCTGATCAAACCCTTATTTTGCTCTGAGAATAATAGAGCCTAGCTGTCAATGGTTTTGCTTATTCACAAGGTTAACAAATGTACTTGGTTTTGGTAATTACAGTGGTAAATCATGCCTTCTCATAATCTGGCTGGTCTACAGATCAGCATTTGCAGGTTATTTTGGCAATTGTTTACCTATTGTGGGGTCCTGGGAGCTTTCTGCATAACATCAAGAGCATTTTACTGGGTTTAAAAGCTGACTCACATAGTCTTGCCCCCTTGTATTGATAAACTTAGGAACAAAAACTTTGAAATTTCTTTATATAATAATTTTGGATTTCTTTTCAATTCAGCATGCTGGCCATCTCCACTGAGGCAGGGTGACCCAAAAAAGAAACACTTTTACCATCATTTACACACAATTACTGTGTTTGCAGAGGCACACAGATATGACAGTTCCAATATTCCAAACCACTCCTTTATAGTGCAGGCATTGTACTTCCCACCTCCAGGACTCAAGTCCGGCTAACTGGTTTCCCTGAATCCCTTCACAAAATATATCCTGCTCACACTCCAACAGCTCATTAAGTCCCAGAAACCATTCATCTCCACTCCTGTCTAACATGCTCACACATGCCTGCTGTATGTCCAAGTCCCTTATACACACAGCCTCTTTTACCCTATCCCCTCATCCATTCCTAGGATAACCCTTATCCCTCCTTCCCTCCACTACAGATTTATCCTCTTAAGTCATCCTATTTTGCTCCATACTCTCTAAATGATGAAACCACCTCAAAAACCTCTCCTCAGCTCTCTAAATAATACTTTTATTAACTCTACATCTCCTAATTGCCACACTACGAATTCTCTGCATAATATTTATGCCACACATTGCCCTTAGACATGACATCTCCACTGCCTCCAGTCTCCTTCTTGCTGCAACATTCACAACCTATGCTTCACACCCATGTAAGTGTGTTGGTACTACTCTCCTCTCATACATTGCCTTCTTTGTTTCATAGATAATATTCTTTGTCTCCACAGATACCTCAGTGCACCACTCACCTTGTTTCCTTCATCAGTTTTATGGCTTTCCTTGTCCTTCATAAACCCATCTGCTGACAAATCTACTCCCAGATATCTAAACACATTCACTTCATCCATACTCCCTCCCTCCCATCTGATGTCCAATTTTTCCTCATCTAAATAATTTGATACTCTCATCACCTTACTCTTATCTATGTTCACTTAGAACTTTCTTCCTTTACACACCCTCCCAAACCTGTCCACTAACCTTTGGAACTTCTCTTTAGAATCCTCCAAAAGCACAGTATCATCAGCAAAAAGTAAGTGTCAACCTCCATTGTGTATTGGAATCTACATAATTTAATCCTGCCCCTCTCCCAACACCCTAGCATTAACTTCTTTTTTTACAACCCCATCTATAAATATGTTAAACAACCATAGTGACTTTACGCATCCCTGTCTAAGACCTACTTTTACTGGAGAGTAATCTCCCTCTCTGCTACACATCCTAACCTGAGTCTCACTATCCTCATAAAAACTCTTAATGGCATTTAGTAACTTACCATCTATTCCATACATGTGCAACATCTGCCATATTGATCCTCTATCAACCTTACCATAAGCCTTTCCTAAATTCATAAAAGCAGTGAAAACTTCTCTGCCTTTATCTAAATATTGTTCATTTATATGCTTCAATGTAAACACGTGGTCTACACATCCCCTACCCTTTCCAAAACCTTATTCATCTGTACTCCTGCTCTCTGTCTTACCTCTAATTCTTTCCAATAATAACCTTGCCATGCACTTTACCAGGTATACTCTCTCTTTTGTCCCCCTCCCCTTTATATAATGGCACTATGCATGCTTCCTGCCAGTCCCTAGGTACCTTCCCCTCTTTCATACATTTTTTTTTTTAACAAGTCGGCCGTCTCCCACCGAGGCAGGGTGACCCAAAAAGAAAGAAAATCCCCAAAAAGAAAATACTTTCATCATCATTCAACTCTTTCACCTCACTCACACATAATCACTGTTTTTGCAGAGGTTATCAGAACACAACAGCTTAGAAGCATATACGTATAAAGATACACAACATATCCCTCCAAACTGTCAATATCCCGAACCCCTCCTTTAGAGTGCAGGCATTGTACTTCCCATTTCCAGGACTCAAGTCCGGCTATATAAAAATAACCGGTTTCCCTGAATCCCTTCACTAAATATACCCTGCTCACACTCCAACAGATCGTCAGGTCCCAAATACCATTCGTCTCCATTCACTCATATCAAACACGCTCACGCATGCCTGCTGGAAGTCCAAGCCCCTCGCCCAGAAAACCTCCCTTACCCCTTACTTCCAACCTTTCCGAGGATGACCTCTATCCCGCCTTCCTCTCCCTACAGATTTAAATGCTCTGCATGTCATTCTGCTTTGATCCACTCTCTCTAAATGACCAAACCACCTCAACAGCCCCTCTTCAGCCGTCTGACTAATACTTTTAGTAACTCCACACCTTCTCCTAATTTCCCCACTCCGAATTTTCTGCAGAATATTTACACGACACATTGCCCTTAGACAAGACATCTCCACTGCCTCCAACCGCCTCCTCGCTGCTGCATTCACAACCCAAGCTTCACACCCATATAAGAGTGTTGGTACTACTATACTTTCATACATTCCCTTCTTTGCCTCCATAGATAATGTTTTTTGTCTCCACATATACCTCAACACACCACTCACCTTTTTTCCTTCATCAATTCTATGATTAACCTCATCCTTCATAAATCCATCCGCCGACACGTCAACTCCCAAGTATCTGAAAACATTCACTTCTTTCATACTCCTCCTCCCCAATTTGATATCCAATTTTTCTTTATCTAAATCATTTGATACCCTCATCACCTTACTCTTTTCTATGTTCACTTTCAACTTTCTACCTTTACACACACTCCCAGACTCGTCCACTAACCTTTGCAATTTTTCTTTAGAATCTCCCATAAGCACAGTATCAGCAAAAAGCAACTGTGTCAACTCCCATTTTGTATTTGATTCCCCATAATTTAATCCCACCCCTCTCCTGAACACCCTAGCATTTACTTCTTTTGCAACCCCATCTATAAATATATTAAACAACCATGGTGACATTACACATCCCTGTCTAAGACCTACTTTTACCGGAAAGTAGTCTCCCTCTCTTCTACACACCCTAACCTGAGCCTCACTATCCTCATAAAACCTCTTTACAGCATTTAGTAACTTACCGCCTATTCCATATACTTGCAACATCTGCCACATTGCTCCCCTATCCACTCTATCATATGCCTTTTCTAAATCCATAAATGCAATAAAAACTTCCCTACCTTTATCTAAATACTGTTCACATATATGCTTCAATGTAAACACTTGATCTACACATCCCCTACCTACTCTAAAACCTTCTTGCTCATCCGCAATCCTACATTCTGTCTTACCTCTAATTCTTTCAGTTATAACCCTACCGTACACTTTTCCTGGTATACTCAGTGAACTTATTCCTCTATATTTTTTACAATCTCTTTTGTCCCCCTTCCCTTTATATAAAGGGACTATACATGCTCTCTGTCAATCCCTAGGTACCTTCCCCTCTTTCATACATTTATTAAACAAAAATACCAACCACTCCAACAATATATCCCCTCCTGCTTTTAACATTTCTGTCATGATCCCGTCAGTTCCAGCTGCTTTACCCCCTTTCATTCTATGTAATGCCTCACGCACCTCCCCCACACTCACATCCTGTTCTTCACTCCTAAAAGATGGTATACCTCCCTGTCCAGTGCATGAAATTACCGCCTCCCTTTCTTCCTCAACATTTAAAAGTTCCTCAAAATATTCTCGCCATCTACCCAAAACCTCCCTCTCCCCATCTACTAACTCCCCTTCTCTGTTTTTAACTGATAAATCCATTTGTTCCCTAGGCTTTCTTAACTTGTTTAACTCACTCCAAATTTTTTTCTTATTTTCAATAAAATTTCTTGACAGTGCTTCTCCCACTCTATCATCTGCTCTCCTTTTGCACTCTCTCACCACTCTCTTCACATTTCTTTTACTCTCCATATACTCTATTCTTCTTATAACACTTCTGCTTTGTAAAAACCTCTCATAAGCTACCTTTTTCTCTTTTATCACAACCTTTCCTCCTGTACCCACCCTCCTATAACCACAAACTTCTGCCCCACATTCTAATACTGCATTTTTAAAACTATTCCAACCCTCTTGAACCCCACTGCTCATACTTCACCAGTCCACCTTTCTGCCCATAGTTGTTTATATCTCACCCGAACTTCCTCCTCCTTTAGTTTATACACTCTCACCTCCCTCTTGCTTGTTGTTGCCATTTTCCTCTTTTCCCATCTACCTCTTACTCTAACTGTAGCTACACCTAAATAATCATCCGATATGTCAGTTGCCCCTCTATAAACGCGTACATCCTGGAGCCTACCCATCAACCTTTTATCCACCAATACATAATCTAACAAACTGCTTTCATTACTTGCTATATCATACCTTGTATATTTATTTATCCTCTTCTTCATAACTTTACCCCCACCTGCTTTTAACATTTCTGTCAGGATCCCATCAGTTCCAGCTACTTTACCCCCTTCATTCTACTCAATGCCTCCCCCACACTCACATCCAGCTCCATCCTGAAATATATTATACCTGGCCAGTGCATGAAATCACTGTCTCCCTCTCTCTTCATCAACATTGAACAGTTCCTCAAAATATTTCCCCCATCTTCCCAATACCTTCAATTCCCCATCTTCTAATTCCCCTATTCTGTATGTAACTGTTAAATCCATTTGCTCCCTAGGCTTTCTTAACCTATTTATCTCATTCCAAATTTTTTTCTTATTCTCAGCAAAATTTGTTGACAGCATCTCACCCACTATCATTTGCTTTCCTTTGCACTCCCTCACCTCTTCCTTCACCTCTCTTTTACTCTCCATATACTCCACCCTTCTTATATCATTTCTGCTTTGTAAAAACCTCTCATAGACAAACCTTTTCTTCCTTATCACACCCTTTACCTCATCATTCCACTAATACTTCCTTTTTCCTCCTAACCCACCCTCCTATATCCACAAATTTCTGTCCTGCATTCTAACACTGCATTTTTAAGTTATCCCACCCTCTTCAACCCCTGCACTACCTATGCTGTCACTAGCCCACCTTTCTCCACATGGTTGCTTATATCTCACCCGAACTTCCTCCTCCCTTAGTTTATAAACTTTCACTTCTTTATTATTTGCTGTTGGCATTTTCCTTTTGCCCCATCTGCCTCTTACTGTAGTGATCTGATATATCTGTTGCCCCTCTATAAACATGTACATCCTGAAGTCTGCCCATCAGCCTTTTATTTACCAACACATAATCCAATGACCTACTCTCATTAAGTTCTATATCAAATCTTGTATACTTACTTATCCTCTTTTTCTTAAAATATGTATTATACTAGACCTCTTTCTATCATAGCCCAGGTAAAGGCCCTCCATTATCGTTTACCTCTGACACTCTAAACTTACCTACAATGCCCTCTACAACCTTCTCTCCCACTTTAGCATCCATGTCCCCTATCACAATTACTCTCTCACATGGCTCAAAACTCCTTAAGCACTCACTTAACATCTCCCAAACTCTCTTTTCTACACTTCTCTTTTGTCAAGGTGCATAAACACTTTTCACATCTGACCCTTATTTTACTGCACATAATCCTTGAATTTATATATTTATATTCCCTCTTTTCCTGCCATAACTAATCCTTCAACATTATTGCTACTCCTTCCTTTGCTCTAACTTTATTAGAAACCCCTGACCTAATCCAGCTTATTTCTTCCCACAGAAACTCTCCTACCCACCTACAACTTTGTTTCACTTAGAGCCAGGACATTCAGCTTCTTTTCAACCATAACATCCTCAGTTATCTCTTTTATTATCCGCACTACATCAACGCACATTCAAACGTCCCATCTTTTTATTTTAAGTAAGCTATACTGGAGAAGGGGTTACTAGCCCATTGCTCCTGGCAATGGGTTACAGAGGAAAGTTTCTTATTCTTTCTGTGTGTGTGTGTGTTGTGTGTGAGTACGTACGTATGTACGTACTCACCTAATTGTACTCGCCTAATTGTGGCTGCAGGGGTCGAGACTCAGCTCCTGGCCCCGCCTCTTCACCGACTGCTACTAGGTCCTCTCTCCCCTGCTCCATGAGCTTTATCATACCTCGTCTTAAAACTATGTATAGTTCCTGCCTCCACTACCTGCTTGCCAGACTATTCCACTTCCTAACTACTCTATGACTGAAGAAATACTTCCTAACATGCCTTTGACTCATCTGAGTCTTCAGCTTCCAATTGTGACCCCTTGTTTCTGTGTCCCATCTCTGGAATATCCTGTCTCTGTCCACCTTGTCTATTCCCCACAGTATTTTGTATATCGTTATCATGTCTCCCCTGACCCTCCTGTCCTCCAGTGTTGTCAGACCGATTTCCCTTAACCTTTCTTCATAGTGTATTCACCTAATTGTACTCACCTAATTGTGGTTGCAGGGGTCGAGACTCAGCTCCTGGCCCCGCCTCTTCACTGATTGCTACTAGGTCCTCTCTCTCTCTGCTTCCTGAGCTTTATCATACCTCTTCTTAAAACTATGTATGGTTCCTGCCTCCACTACTTCACTTGCTAGGCTATTCCACTTCCTGACGACTCTATGACTGAAGAAATACTTCCTAACGTCCCTGTGACTCATCTGAGTCTTCAGCTTCCAGTTGTGACCCCTTGCTCCTGTGTCCCCTCTCTGGAACATCCTATCTCTGTCCACCTTGTCTATTCCCCGCAGTATCTTGTATGTCGTTATCATGTCTCTCCTGACCCTTCTGTCCTCCAGTGTCATCAGTCCGATTTCCCTCAATCTTTCCTCGTACGACATTCCCCTGAGCTCTGGGACTAGCCTTGTTGCAAACCTTTGTACTTTCTCTAACTTCTTGACGTGCTTCACCAGGTGTGGGTTCCAGACTGGTGCTGCATACTCCAGTATGGGCCTAACATACACAGTGTACAGTGTCTTGAATGATTCCTTATTAAGGTATCGGAACGCTATTCTCAGGTTTGCCAGGCGCCCGTATGCTGCAGTAGATATTTGGTTGATGTGTGCCTCCGGTGACGTGCTCGGTGTTATGGTCACCCCAAGGTCTTTCTCCCTGAGTGAGGTCTGTAGTCTTTGTCCGCCTAGCCTATACTCTGTCTGCGGTCTTCTTTGCCCCTCCCCAATCTTCATGACTTTGCATTTGGCAGGATTGAATTCGAGAAGCCAGTTTCTGGACCACATGTCCAGCTTGTCCAGGTCTCTTTGCAGTCCTGCCTCATCCTCATCCGATTTAATTCTTCTCATCAACTTCACATCATCTGCGAATAGGGACACTTCAGAGTCTATTCCTTCCATCATGTCGTTCACATATATCAAAAATAGCACTGGCCCTAAAACTGACCCCTGTGGGACCCCGCTCGTCACAGGCGCCCACTGTGATACCTCTTCATGTACCATGACTCGTTGCTGCCTCCCTGTCAGGTATTCCCTGATCCATTGCAGTGCCCTCCCTGGTACATGCGCCTGATCCTCCAGCTTCTGCACTAATCTCTTGTGGGGAACTGTGTCAAAGGCCTTCCTGCAGTCTAGGAAAATGCAATCAACCCACCCCTCTCTCTTGTGTCTTACTTTGTTACCTTGTCATAAAACTCCAGGAGGTTTGTGATACAAGATTTGCCTTCCATGAACCCATGCTGGTTTTCATTTATAATCTTGTTCCGTTCCAGGTGTTCGACCACTCTCCTCCTGATAATCTTCTCCATGACTTTGCACACAATACATGTCAGAGACACAGGTCTGTAGTTTAGTGCCTCGTTCTGTTTCCTTTCTTAAATATGAGGAGTACATTTGCTGTCTTCCATTTCTCAGGTAGTTGCCCAGTTTCAAGGGATGTGTTGAAGATTGTGGTTAGAGGCATGCACAGCATCTCTGCTCCTTCTCTAAGGACCCATGGGGAGATGTTGTCCGGAAAATCCTAGAGGGACTAGTACCGAACTTGCACACGAAAATCACTCACTACGAAAGCAAAAGACTTGGCAGACGATGCAACATCCCCCCAATGAAAAGCAGGGGTGTCACTAGCACGTTAAGAGACCATACAATAAGTGTCAGGGGCCCGAGACTGTTCAACTGCCTCCTAGCATACATAAGGGGGATTACCAACAGACCCCTGGCAGTCTTCAAGCTGGCACTGGACAAGCACCTAAAGTCGGTTCCTGACCAGCCGGGCTGTGGCTCGTACGTTGGTTTGCGTGCAGCCAGCAGCAACAGCCTGGTTGATCAGGCTCTGATCCACCAGGAGGCCTGGTCACAGACCGGGCCGCGGGGGCGTTGACCCCCGGAACTCTCTCCTGGTAAACTCCAGGTAACTCCAGGTCCCATCGCCTTTGAGTTATCAAGGTCACTTAGCAGCTTCTTCACCTCCTCCTCGGTTGTTCGTATGTCATCCAACACTTGGTGGTATATTCCCTCTTGATGTTCCCTTCTGTGCTGACTTCCCACAGCCCTTCCTGTCTCTACTGTAAAAACTTCCTTAAATCTCCTGTTTAGCTCCTCACATACCTCCTGGTCATTTCTTGTGAGTTCTCCCCCTTCTGTCCTTAATCTGATCACCTGGTCTTTGACTGTTGTCTTCCTCCTGATGTGGCTATTCAACAGTTTCGGGCCAGTCTTGATTTTCAATGCTATGTCATTTTCATACTGTCGCTGGGCCTCCCTCCTTACCTGTGCGTACTAGTTCCTGGCTTTGCGACTGATCTCCCTATTTTCGTGTGTTCTCTGCCTTCTGTACTTTTTCCATTCTCTATTGCACTTTGTTTTTGCCTCCTTACACCGTTGGGTAAACCAGGGGCTTGTTCTGGTCTTCCCGTTGTTTCTGTTGCCCTTGGGAATAAACCTTTCCACTGCCTCCTTGCATTTTGTTGTTACATATTCCATCATTTCATTTACTGGCTTTCCTGCCACTTCTCTGTCCCATGGGGCCTCCTGCAGGAAGTTCCTCAACCCTATGTAGTCCCCTCTTTTATAGTCAGGCTTTTCCCATTCAACTCCTGTTACTCTCTCCACTTGCAGCTCTACTATATATTCAAAGCCCAGAACAACGTGGTCGCTAGCTCCTAGGGGACTCTCATACGTGATGTCCTCAATGTCTGAACTGCCCAGGGTGAACACAAGGTCCAATCTTGCTGGTTCATCCTCCCCTCTCACTCTGGTAGTGTCCTTAACATGTTGGTGCATGAGGTTTTCCAGCACCACGTCCATCATCTTGGCTCTCCATGTTTCGGGACCCCCATGTGGCTCCAGGTTTTCCCAATCAATCTCCCTGTGGTTGAAATCCCCCATAACCAGCAACTTTGCTCTGCTGGAGTGAGCTCTTCTTGCCACCTCAGCAAGTGTGTCCACCATTGCTCTGTTGCTCTCTTCATATTCCTCTCTTGGCCTCCTGCAGTTCTGTGGTGGATTATACATCACTGCAATGACCACCTTGTGTTCCCCAGACTGAAGTGTACCTACTATGTAGTCCCTTTCTCCAATCTTGTTCATGCCTCCCATTTTCTCGAATTTCCATCGTTTTTTTACAAGCAGTGCAACCCTTGCTCCTTCTATCTTTCCTCAGGATCTGATATCCTGGTGGAAAGATTGCATCTATTATTGCCTCAATGAGTTTCATTTCTGTAACTGCTATGATGTTTGGGGACTTCTCATTGATTCTTTCATGTCACTCCTCATATTTATTCATTAATCCATCCGCATTCATGTACCAAACCTTCAACTTCTGTTCTAAAACTGTGGTCCTGGGAAAATATTGGGGTTGGGAGAGCAGGAGCCCTGGCAGGGGCGTATGGGGGGTTGCCGTGGGGGTGGGGGCAGAGTTCCCATAGGGGGTTGTTGTATGGGTAGGGTTTGTGGTGTGGGGGATAGGGACAGAGGGATAGGTGTGTTATTGTTGGTTTAGATTGTTCAGTTGCCTTGGAGTTGTTGTGGTTGGAGTCCTGCTGCGGGTGTTTCTGGGGGGGGGGGGTGTTTGCCCTTCCACCTGTGCCTGGGTTATTCTGCTTTTCTTTGTCATTTCCTCCCATTCCTCCTTTTATTTTTGCACTCTCTCTTTCAGTATCATCCTATTCTCTTGTGTTCTGTCTTGATCGAGGTACACACTCTGAAACTCCAGTTTGTCTCTCAGCTGTGCTTTCTCCTGGTGGATCATGGTTTGAGTTGATTTTGCCTTGAAAATTACTTTGAGAGGCCGTTTCCTTCTCCTTGCAAACCACCCAATTCTCTGAAAATTTGTCACCTGGGTCATGTTGCCCTCCCCTATCACCTTCATGGTACTTTCAGTCACTTTATTCTCCTCTGTTTTTTCTTATCATAGGTTTCCCCTTCGGCTTCCTGGAGCCCATAGACAGAAACTGATCTCTCTCTTTCTTCCTCCCACTGTGTCTCCCATTGTGTCCTCTTGAGGTGTTTTAGTTCCTTCCCTTGGAGCGTTCCTTCCTTCAATCCCTTCCCTAGCTGAGGCCCCTATGCTCATTGGTCTGTCTTTCCTGCTCATCTGTTCCTGGCCCCTACAAGTGTCTAGTAGAGTCCCTGCATATGTCCTAGCTCCTTCAATGTCTTCCGACCTCTCATTTTATCCAAGTGTGCTCCCTGTCTCTGTCTTGGCTCCGTGTGGGTCTGACAGGACCTTTGCATACAGTTTAGCTTCCTTATTCCCTCCAGTGCCTTTGTGTGTCTGATGTAGATGTTCCTAATGCTATGTCTGTATTGTTATTTTTTTCTCAAGGCTGTTTCATATTTCTCAGCTCCTCTTCTATGCTCTGTATCTTGGCTTCTGCTACTATGGCATGTTGCTCCCAATTTCTGCTTTCTGCAGCTAACCTCTCCTCCATCTTCCTTCCAAGCTCTTTTAAGTGTGGGTGCGTGCATGCATGCGTGCAGTGTGTGTGTGTGTGTGTGTGTGTGTGTGTGTGTGTGTGTGTGTGTGTGTGTGTGTGTGTGTGTGTGTACTCACTCACCTAGTACTCACCTAGTTGAGGTTGCAGGGGTTGAGTCCAAGCTCCTGGCCCCACCTCTTCACTGGTCGCTACTAGGTCACATCGATTCTCAAACTATTCCACCTCCTGACTAGTGGCTGAAGAAATACTTCCTAACATCCCTGTGATTCATCTGTGTCTTCAACTTCCAACTCTGTCCCCTTGTTGCTGTGTCCCATCTCTGGAACATCCTGTCTTTGTCCACCTTGT